CCAGAATCGTTTAGCAGATTTGGAAAGCGGATTTGAGATACTCACCTGGAGACACATTCGGCAGTATACATCTCATCTCAGATGGCCACTGCGACCTAGTATCCTTCCCTTGTCAGTTCATCTCCAACTCAAGCTACAACGGCTCATAGGTTTTGATAGCCTCCCTAGACTGGTTTTATCTAACGCTACTGCGTTGGAAGCCTCCTCAGTTCTAACGGAATGAGACTCGTTCAGACATTAATTTTTTTGTAAGTACCCATGAGTAGCTTTGCTGGTAGGAGCTCGGTAGACTCCCATCATCTGATAAGGCTGTTCTTGTTTAGGAGGCGGGCTCATCCACCTGAAAGTCACGACGATGGGCTCTTTTTATTAAATCCAGCTTGGATTTTTCGCACAACATCGATGTAGTCGTTCAAAAAGCCTTCACAGCACTTTTTGCCATTTTAAGAAATGTTCGATACAACTCTTCTTTAATTTTGTTGAGGCACTAAAAAGCGTATCCTGTTCCCTTACTCGTATATGGTTCACGGATATGGAACACTACTACTAAAGGCCTCCATTTGAAAGGTTGAACAAATTTTCACGATAGTATTATTGTATAAATGCTATCCCGACACAGTGCACCGACGTCCTTTACTCAATTATGATGATCGGCTGCATTGTTTCAGTCCTAGATCATTGTTAAACAGAAGAATATTCAATGATTTTGTAATCTGTTTGGAAATGCTGGAAGGCACACTTAAGCTGCGACAGAATAAGTACTGGGTAAACCAGTAGACCTGCAGATAGAGCCAACTACCAGTGCGTTCAAAAGGAAGTTGAGTCTTCCCTAGAACTTAGACTTCCTTGCCTAGTTAGGCTCAGAGGATTTTTAGGGTGTCAAGCCAGAGGAGTGTCCACTCGCGGGTATGGTGTTTCTTATTGTACGGTTTTTGCCTTTTTTCTGTTCAAATTTGTAACCGGTTTGCTTTCTTTGATTTTGCTCTCGCGCACCTTATTGTGCACATTAAAGGCACTGTTCACAAAAAAATTAGGTTACCCTTTTTTGACGGGAATTGATAGAACTACTCTAGAATAAAGCGATAACAACGAAAAAAGCGCAAAAAACGATGGACAAAAAGAATTACAAATGGTCAAAAAAGAGCTGGAAAGGGGGGTTGGACGAATTTCGCATTGAAAAAACTGCGGTTAGAGAGTGTTCGAGCGAGAATGCACGAAGGCGACGCAATGCCTGCAATACAGACAACACATCGAAATTAACGGAGTTTCTGATATAAAAAAACATTTGCGTGCAATAATCTACACAAAATATGTTAAAATCTTCAATAAACTTGCGAGAATAGTCAAAGAGCGCTACCGTAAAAAAATTCATTACGAAATAATAGAATAACAATAGTAGAATAATAGAAATAACAGCTGAATACTAGCTCCTGTACGAGGCGGTCGACCAGCTGACCATTCTGGCCATTTGCCAATCAGCGTATCGATTTTTCACCAACTTCGCTCCAGTGCGAATAAGGTGAAGGACAACTTGAACTCGTAGTCAGCCTAGCGAGGGGCGGAGGCCTCCCGTCCCCCACTGTTCCTGCCCTTATCGTGCCCTATCCAGCCGTTTTCCGACCTAATTCCTACACAATTGTTATCAGAGGGGGCTTCGAATTCAAACCATGTGCAAATCTCCGAAACTATTTTTTCGTGAACAGTGCCTTTAAAGGCACAGCTCACGTTAATTTTGGGGTAACCGGGTTTTTGGCGAAATTTGACAAAAAATGTAGATACGGCCTACAATAGTACAATGGTAATAAAGAAAACGCGAAAAAACATGAATATAGTTTGGTTCCTGGCACCTCCTCTATTACTCTGTAGCGACACCATAGGACATAATAGTTTATTAGCAATCTCAGCCAATACGATAATCTCCACAAAGCGTGCTGACGACGGCGACGGCTAGTCAGACGATCGGCGAATCCGCCGTTGATGGCCATGAGTCCAGCGGCGGTTGCGACGGCGAGTCCTCGACGGTGCCTGATCACGCGTTTTATACGAAGCTCGCGGAGAAGCCTGTAATCAGTACATTTCATCGGAGCATGAGAACGTTTCTGCGCAGGCTAGAATAGAAGCTAGGTTATAAACATTGCCTATCGATTGATTGGACAAGCCCTGAGGCTTACACCTCCCCCCCTTTACCCAAATACGTCCGTCCTCGGACGTGGAAAAGTTTAATGATGGGGAAAAGGGATGCAACTATTGCCCTGGTTGGTGTGGGGAACCGTGTCTAATCGTCAATCCCAAAAGGCATCAAGCATAATTCACAAAATTCACTACCTGAGCCCGGAAATCTGCCAACCATTGTCTATGTAGAAAAGTGCGAANACATCGCGTAATCGCGACGTTGAGTCTGCGGATGTCGTCCAAGAAGTCTCCGGACTCCCTGTCAATTTCGGTTCGAGTAGTTAGAATAACGACGGCATCCATCTCCCGACCTTGAACTGAGTCGACGGTAAGAAGCGGGACGCTGAGACGGTGTAAGGTGTCCTCGAGTCGTCGTTGCTGTTCCTTATAGAACGGAATAACCGCGATGGAAGAAGCGTCTATGCCTTTTGACAGGAGAGCACATACAATTTCTTCGCAACAACGAGCTTCCGCCGGATTGTAATGGGACTGCGAAGGGGAGACTCGTGAATGACCCCGGATGTCAACGAAAATAAAGGGAACGTCCGGATTGGGCAGAGCGAGGCGACGCGTAAATAGCTGACGTTGTCGGGCTGTTGATCCACTGACCAGGGTTCCTCCATAGACGACTGAATTGGGCAAGCTGTTAAGAGCAGGGTGTGCTCGAAAGGACGTTACTAAAGGTGCGCGAGGAAGGTCTTTCTCCATGAGAAGTGTCATAAGTCCTTTGCCACCGAAACGAGCCGCTACGGAAGTACGAGGACAGCGAACGTGGGGCTCCAGCTGGTTGACGTCTCCGATGTAAATGTGACGTGCGTTGGTGAAACGAGCCGCCAGGGCCACGAATGCGGGTCCAGGTATTTGAGACGCCTCGTCTCCGATAATGACGTCAGCTTCCGAGAATACCAGTGGAAATAGACCGCCCGCGCGAGTGGTGTTCAATAGTGACGATGTTGTCATGCACACTATGTCGGGAAATCGCACGCGAAGCATGATTTTCACGGCTTCCTCCGTATCCTCGGAATTGTGATTCTCCGCGATCCGATACTGTTCACGTTCTTCTTCCGACAGGTGGAGCGTTGCTTCGGGGTCAAATAACAAGCGTTCGACCAGGGTCCGGCCGCGAACATATTCCGCGAGAAGAGGGCGCTCCGATCTTGTAAGCGCGTCAGAAAAATTGGCCATTAGGCCCTGGAGTATCTGATGAAGGTCTACTGGAGTAGATGGTGCTCCCTCCCGAAGTGCTGAATCGGCAACGAACCGAAGGACCTTCAGTTGTTTGTACTCGTCAAGCCTCAGAAGCGTCTCGGTGAATTGTGCGACGGCTACGTTGGTTGTAGATGTCATGAGGACCAACTTGCCCTGCTCTGCGAGCCGAGCGGCGATGAGTGCTCCCACTACCGTTTTCCCCGTGCCGAAGGCCGCCTGGATAGCCAAAACTGGATGGTTGCCGAGGCCCATTTGCACGGCGCGAGATTGATCGTCGCGTAGACGAAGGTTAATAGAATCCAAGGTGATGTTAGTTGGAGGGGCTTCGCCTTGCGCCTGAGCATCTGGCGGGCGCGGGCGGCTGGCATATACTAGGTCGAGAACGGTGTTTGCCCTTGATGGGATGTTGGGGTTCCTGATGTTGTTGGAAAATGTGCCCTCTGCTAGCAGGTTGAAAACGGGATCGGTGCCGGTTGGCGCCCGTGCCAGGCGAACACACAGTGGTACGAAAGCCTCATTGGCATTCAAACGTCCTGCTCCATGACGTCGGATAGCTCTGAGTAGTGATTGATGATGATGGGGTTCGGAGTGTAGCTCGATGGCGAGGGTCTGGCGCTCAGGGCGATAAATTGCTTCCGCTATTCTATTCCGTAGAAGAATGGTGGAATTGATCACCCAAGTGTGAACGGTTCTAGATCTTGTCCACCCTCCTTGAACTGACATCGTGTCGATGTTGAACAACAGCCTAAGTGGGAGAGCATCCATACTAGGCACGTAAGCGGAGACTTCGTGTGTCGCTTTGTCGTCGGACCAAACGCTGTAGGCGGCGAGTGCTGAACTTGCTGCGGCGAAGAGCTGGATCATTCGAACCCGGGCGGAACGGCGATTGCGATTGTAGTTGAGAAACTGTTGCTCTCTATCGGCGATCCACTGTAGGTCTTCCGAAGGCATACGCGAAACTCGGAGCGGCAGGAGTGCTTCTTCGGGATGTGCAGGAAGAAAACGTCGCACCGCATTGACGAGGTACCGTTGGGCATCTAGTGATACGGCAGAGTGACAGAACCGCATGGCGCACGAGACATTGGTGCGGGAACGTGCCAGCAGGAACATATCTCGTTCAACCTCAGTCATGGGGAAGTCGCAAATGTGAGGTGGTACGCGTATTGCCTCGTGAGATCCCTCAAATGCAGCGTGGAAATTGTTCACGCGTTCCTGATCCATGCCCCGACGGGTGACGGAGATGACGATTCCGAGAGTGTTGCGAGGAGACGAGGATGGTGTGACTGGTACAAACTCGTGCACTCGAAAGAAATACGGAACGGATGAGTCAAGTATAAGTGGGCGGGGGCGACGAGCTTCTCGGAGAACGTCGCTGCGATTCGAAGCTGCCAGAGTTCTTGTTGTGGGTCGAAGGGTGTAAACCCATACAAAATCTTTGACGGATAGCTGGTCTCGATCAAATCCCCGCGTACGGGACAAGATGTTAACTGAGTCCAGAGTCAAGGGAAGGCATTGTCGTTGACGGCGTTGACGTGGAAGAACAGGCGGAGGTGGCAAGAGACAGCTTGCTGCAGTTCCAAGTGAGGACTCAAGTTATCGTGTCCTGTGACATGTGATTCCCGAAGTTCCCGTGTCGTATGCGTGGCCGAGTCATTGTCGGTGTCCGAAAGTTGAGCCTTAGCCCGTGGATGTAGAGATGCCGAATGACCAGAAGAAGCATCAGTAGGAGGTTGGTCCGATCCGGTTGCTGTCTGCTGTAGCGGCTGGGCTGCACCACCTGAAGATGAGATTCAAGGTGTTACGGAAACCGACAAAGCTGGAATCGAAATTAGCGTACCCTCAGTGACGAGAATGCGCGTGTTAGAAGGTTGGACATTAGCCCCCGATGCCGAAACACTGCCTACAAGGGAATCAGCAGAGATATTGGACACAGGAGACACTATGTCAGCAGCGAGTGCAGATGTACTAGACTCGTCCATGACACGATAGTGACACGATGGTTGTTCGAGCTGAAACACGGCATATAACCTGGGGTTGGGGTACCGGGCCGCGAACATCTGACGTCAACGGGAGTAGAAAAGAGAAAGCTAAGATGAAAATGTCTATCACGAGGAGAGGATTGAAAGGAGAGAGAAAAAACTAAGTAAAGAAGAGAATAAGTGGTGAGTCTTCCCGTCCGTTGAAGACGTCAGATGGAGCCCAGGCGCGTCCTGAAACGAGTATTATACCGGTGTGTTGGAACAGCGAATGTAGTTGATGTCTCATTGGTAGAAGAAGGCAAAGTAACTGAATGTGTATATCCTACCACTACTTGCGGGACGGCGCTAACGGACGTTAACGCTTTCTGATCTTCCTCTGGAAGCCAAGGGGAAGAGAACACTGGTCCCGTCAGGAGGAAGCACTTTTTGACTTGGTTGAGATGGACGCGTCTCGGAGGGGACTGAGGCGCCGATATGCTCACTATAGTGAGGTGGGGATGGTCGACGGCGATAACCCGAAACTGCCCCTTCCACGGAAAACATAACTTAGGAGATAGACCAGGCTTGGGGGTGACGTCGCGAAGATATACTCTGTCGCCGACTCGAATAGGAGACGTCGGTAAGCCGGATTTATCGTATTCACGTTTCATGCGCGCACTACGTTTGAGGTTATATTCATGGGCGGATACCCAGGCGGCATGAATGGACCTGACCAGCGACTCCTTATACATGCTACTGTCTTCGATAGAGGGTACATGACGTTCCAAGCCGTGGCGGATGAGTAGATCAATACTGAATACCGGGTCACGTCCGAACATGAGGAAGAAAGGAGTATCGTTGGTGCTGCTGTGTACGGAGGTATTATATGCAAAAGTGCACGCAGGCAGGAAGATATCCCAGTCTTCTTGTTTGCTGTCGATGTAGGTTCGTAGCATTTCCTGGAAGGTTTCAAACATGCGCTCACAGGCGCCGTTCCCTTCATGATGATATGGCGTCGTAAAGTAGCGTCCAATCCGCAGGAGGCGTCCCAGTTCGGAGAGGAGCTCTCCCTTAAGATATGAGGCGTTATCTGACACCAGTGTGGTCATTGTCCCGAAAACAAAGACGGCGTGTGTCACTAAGGCGTGAGCTACCGTGACGGAAGTGCAATCCGGTAGCGGGGCTGTAATAACATATTTGCTGAAATGGTCCAAAAGACACATGATGTACTTATTTCCACGAGGTGTTGTTCGATATGGGCCGCTAAGGTCCAGAAAAACCTTATCGAAGATGGCCCCCGCATGTATGGGAATCAGGCGCTCTCGCGCTTGGGCGTGAGGGCGTTTTCGCTGGCAAGCATCGCAGGAACGAACGTACTTAAAGACGTCTTCTCTCATTGTAGGCCAGAAAAAACGACGAGAAATTTTGGCGAGTGTCTTTTTCCAGCCAAAATGACCTCCGGCCGACGGGCTATCGTGGAAGGATATGCATATTGGTTCTCGCAACTGAGGAGGAATTACTATGGCGGGACGGGCTGATGGTCGACGGGAAGCCTCCGGGTGAAGGTAGTAGAGACAACCGTTCGACTTAAGCGTGCATCCTGCGAGATACGATGAGCAGGTCTTTTTGAGTTCCGGTGAGATGTCGGAGGGGAATGAACCGGTCTCGAGGAAAGACATGAGCGCGCTGCAGAAGGGATCTTTTTTCTGCAGAAGTAGCGCATCGTAGGGTCGAATATGTACGGTTGAAGGGCCTGAGGGAGTACCCAGTAGACAGCGCGGGAACTCGATAATGTCGTCGGCCTCCGGAGTACCGTCCACGAAGGCGTTCTGCGGGTTGACGCTGCGACTGAGATGGTCCGCGATCACATTAGAACTCCCTTTGTGATATACAATGCTGATATCGTAACTCTGGAGTTCCACCACCCACCGTGCGAGATTGTCATGAGGTTTCCGGTGGCGTAAAAGAAAAGTGAGCGGCTGATGATCGCACAATATGCGGGTGTGGTTCCCATAGATCGTAGCTCGAAAGAAACGAAGAGCGCTTATCATAGCGAATAGTTCAATATGAGTTGGGCTCCATTTTTGTTGAGTAGTCGACAACGACTTGCTGAAGTAGCCGATCGCTGCTGGTGGGGACGATGGATCTTGGGCTTGTAGCAGAGCCGCTCCCACCGCTACCTTGCTGCCGTCAGTGTGAAGGATAAACTCCTTGTCCTGTGGGAAAGCCAAACAAGGGCGACTAGTTAGGGCTTCTTTGAGTTGGGAGAAGGCCCGTGCCTGGGGTTCCCCCCATGAAAATGAAACCTTGTCCTTACACAAGGCATACAAGGGAGCTGCGATCACCGCGAAATCCTTGATGAACTTGCGGAAAAAATTAGTCATGCCCAGAAACGCTTTAACGGCTTTGGTGGACGATGGTGGAGGCATTTCTTGAATGGCCTTGATATTTCGCTCTGCTGGCTTGTAGGAGTTCGCAGAGATTTCGTGTCCGAGGAAGGTGATGGAAGTTTGGGCTACGCTGGTGAGTTTTTTCCCGGATATTTTGATGTTGAAGATCCGGAACCGCTCCAACACCTTGCGCAACGACCGTATATGCGAATCGAAGTCCTGGTCAAAGATAAGGATGTCGTCAATGTATGCGAGACAATTGTCGTCCAGACCGGCCAAAATCCGTGACATCGCCCTGCAGAAGTATGCCCCAGCGTTGCGGAGTCCAAAAGGCAAGTAGACGAACTGGTAGATGCCACGATGAGTGGCCCAACCACACTTTGCTTGACTCTCGGGAGACAACAACAGTTGCATATACCCTGAAGCCAGGTCGAAANCTCGTCCGGAGACAGCACGGATCCTTCGGTGAGGATGGCGGCAAATCTGGAGTCTTTTTCGGTCAGATAGCACGATACTGGCACTTCGGAAGCAGGAGGAGTTACCACGGTTTCGGCCGCACGAACCGGAATGGAGATCTCTGTTGGAAGATCGGGTGGTGAAGACGGCGATGTAGTCGTCACGATTGGCAATGTGTCGCTTCCCACCAAAAACAAACGACGGGGATAATTCAAGGTCCAAGGTGGCAACCGTTGCAGGAAATCGTTTCCGAGTATGATGTTGTAGGCATCGACTGACCGAGGGACACACAGACCTTCCGTGAAGTGAATCAACTGAGTGTACTCCGTGTTTCCGAGCTTGATCGTGACATTGGCACAACCAGCGAACTTAACAGGAGTTCCGGCCATGCCGACAGCTGCCGGCACCCGGCAAGGACCCATGTGAAAGATGCCTAATAAGGGAAGCAAGGTCTGACTGGCAACCGTGACTCCCGCCCCAGTGTCGATAAGTGCGAGCATGCATACACCGTTGGCGCGGATAGGTACCTGGGCGGTAAAGTAAGGCCGATGGGTATCTAATGACAGAACTGCGGTAGATACTACTGCGGCCCGGGGCCAACCTGGAGACGAGTCGATATCGACATATGAAACGTCGAGATTGGGTCGCTGTGCGGGCTTGAAACGCTCCGTAGGGAGTCGCGGGGAAGGAGCTGGCGGGGAACGATCTCCACGGTGCGCCATGAGACGTGAACACGGAGTCCGGCCCAGTAACGTGAAAAATTCTAGTTGTAAGTAGGCCGAAAACAAAAATTTAAAAGCAGAAAGGGTTACTAACGTACAACAAATTGTAACCCATATATCAAAAGTCGAAAAAGTCCAAGGTAGAAAGGAAGTAAAGGAACCGACCGCTGAGCCTGCCGATACTCCGTTTTGAGCTGAATCTGCGTGAATAAAATGCTCCATAAGCCTCGACCTGTCTCGCGCAATCCACAATTCTCGCAGCTGTTGACTGCCGGAGGCCTCGCTGAAATTAGTCAAGACTAGATTATGGAAGACGGTGAGAGGGGGAGCTCCTTGAAGCCACCCTGTGGATGCCGGGATAGAAAGGGTGGTGATAGCCTCCGGGGTTATCTCAGACCAGGAGCTCGTAAGAGGATCAAACCGTCGGACCCCTTCGGGCGTAACGAAAATCCATGGGGTAACTTGCGAGCACTTTAACTCAGTCGCTTCCTTCTGTACAATACCCGTACGGGGATCAAGGAAGGCGAGCATGTGAGAACCGGTGGGGAGCTGAAGGGACACCCTAGGGAAGTTGTAACAAGTGTCATTGAATGCGCATAGTGTTTGTGGGATCAGTTGCGAGCGCAACTTGGAGTGCCACTGAAAGGGTGTTGGTTCGTTCGCACAGGGCACGCATTGCATTACGAAAGAGCGCTCCTGTCGCTGAGAGGGTGGCCCCCTCTACTGCCAGAAGTTGGGCAGCTAGCTGGTTTGACGTAACCAATCCGGCCTGAAAGGGAGCTTCACGTGGTGGACGCAGTAGCTTCTTCACTGCGTATCCCTGATCCGTAATGATAAGATCATGATCGCAATCCGTAGTGCGAAGCGAAGCGTCATCCCAGGAAAGCGCAAATTCGTGGTCGGCGGAAAGCCATATGTTGCCTGTCATGTGCCCGCTCATTCGCGAGACCAGAGTATATGCGCACTGTTCCTCCCTGTTAGGGGTCCAGATGATTAACGAACCGTCGGCTAAAGTGCAGCTACCGTCAATGTAGGAGCATCCTGAGAGGTCACCCACTGGAGACTGAGGAATGGTTTCTGCGTGTCGGATATGAATGGTGGTAGCGAAGGAGAAACAATTGACGACCTCAGCGGTATGATTGGTACAGCATCCGAACGGAGCGGATGGAAATTCGAATGAGAGACTCTGCTGGGTATGCCAAACTCCCTCGGATTCCACCATTTTGCCGTACTGGCAGTTGTGGTGTTGAGCCATTCGCTTACATTCCTCTACAGGAACTGCCAATTGGGTGTCGCTGTATGTCTCCGTGCGTGACCCAAAAAATCCTACCGAATAGACCACCGTTTGACGAACAATTTTACATACCACAGCCGAGGTGGTATATAGCCGGGTATTGGGGCGATATAGATATAAGGTCACTTTGACCGGTGTGGACGACATGTTAGGCCACATTCCGGAACAGTTGTGCAAGTTCGGCAGCTTAAAGAGGGATGCGGGATTATCGGAAGGACAGAGCCAAGCTTCGATTGTCGATGCTTGACATACTAAAGCGCTGCAACACAATACCAAACAAAAGAGGAATCGTACATCAGGGAGTGATGCTCCATGCTGGTCAGAAGTAAAGGCAAATGGCTGAGAGGCTAGCGAAAACTGTGCAAGCTCCTCGTTGCGGCGTAGTAACGCCGAAATCCTTGCCTGAGAGTGCTGCAGTTCGGTTTGCGAGTCTCTGAGGGAAGAAGCAAGAGCTGCCATATCGAGTGCCGAGTCCTGAGAGGGTTGAGTTCTCGCTGCGACGGGCTGGTCATTCACCGATAGAAAGGAGGCACGTGGGAGAGTAGGGTACCGTGCTCTCCTGGAAGGGAGAGAAAGACCCCGGTTACGAGGAGGCGATGTGGGTCCGCGACGCCCCCACTGGCGAGGAGATGCGCAGGCATTCGCGAAGTGGCCAACACCCCCGCAGTTAAAACAGCGGTCCGGAGGCTGTCGGTTTGTATTCGGAGGTCCACGCTCAAAGCGGTTTGAAGGAGCAGGTGCAGAGGGACCACGACGAGGCCCAGGAGAGGGTGGGCCCTGAGGAAACCGACGACCGTGGCCGCGTGACGGACGCTCTAACACTTGCACCGGTGCTGAATTGTCAGAAGGATGAAGTAACCGATCGGCGGTCGCCTCGCCGAGTAACTGTTCAACAGTCTGCGCCTTATTAACGGCCTGTTCGAAGGACGTGGGCCCATCTAGTTTCACAAAGCAACGAATGTCGCCCCGAAGACGTGATACGAACTCTTCTAGAATCCGCTCTTTTTGAGTAGAAGGGTCTTGTCCGAAGGTGGCCGCTCGCACCAGGTTAAGGATACGGTTGGCGAATGATGTACAGGACTCCCCTGGTTCCTGGCGACACGACGACAGCTTCTGACGCGCGACGTAGCGTTGGTGAGGGCTCTCGAAAAAGGCTTTCAGATGGGTCACCACTGCACTGTAACTCTTCCTTGCGACGTCATCCAACTCTTCCACCTTTTCCCGAGCCACCCCGTCCAAGTGACCAACCAAAAAATAGGCTTGCTGCTCGTCAGTCAAGGGAGTTGGTCGCATTCGCATGACATCCTCGAGGCGTCGTAGCCACATCGTGAACTGGATTCCGTTCTCAGCAGGTCCGATGAATGCAGGGATTCGCGACTGGAAGTCGGGCTGAAACATGGCTACCAGAGGAAGCTCATCGAGTCGCCTTCCCATTGCAGCAAACGACTCGTTAAGTCGTTCTTTGAGGAGCTCATTGTTCTCATTAATACGCTGAGTTAACTGTGCTGTCGAGGCACACGTGTCGTTCCACACTTGAGTCAGTGCAGACGAAGTTGCGTCCCGTATGACCTTAGCGTCACGTCCCATCAATGGAGCATCATCGGCCATGTCCTCGAAAATGTCGAAGGCCTGGTTGGACCCAGGGTCCGACTTGGTGGGCTTCGAGTCAGACAACTGAGCCGTGACCCTGTTGGAGGACGCGGCCTTAGAGCGGGTAGACGGCATCGGGACCTGTGAGGATGGATGAGGCGCCAAGACGTCTGAACAATGATCCACCTTGGAGACGGATGAGGTTTATATATCCGGGATCGTCGCGCAGGTGGGGGAGGGCTTCGCTATGCTGTGATATCTGATTTCCCAAGGGTATCTGATGCGGTGATATCTGATTTCCCAAAGGCGGATCGAAGAATGCCTGGGAACCCCCGAACGTGCGCTTGTGTAAGACAACAAAACTAGATCTTGCTTGCGGGTGTTATGAGAGCCTGGGATATCAACCTTCCGAAGGAATTTGCAAGATGCGCTGCGACGGAGAGATAAAGCTCCGGCGTCTTAGCGCCTGAGAAAGGAGAAAGAACATGTGACCTCGATGAGTAAAGCTCTAATGACACTGATGATGTCCAAAGTTTACCTTGATCAGAAAACGGGGCGAGCCTCCCTCCGCGGGCATAAATGTGAGCTCGTTTCCACTGCAACCCTCGATTGTTAAAAAATGCCCGTCCCCGAAATGAGAATTCAGGGTTGTTAATCTCGCCGAGCATGTTGCCGTTGAGTCATCGCGGTCGTGCCCTTTACCCGCGTGGAGAAGCGACTGAGATGACAGAGCTGATAAGGGGAAAGGAGCCAACAGGAAAGTAATCACAGTTCTCAGATTTTGAAATAACTCTTACAAATGATGGTTCACGACAAGACGAAAGCGCAAACTAGAGGAGCTGCGAACTGCTCGCATTGAAAAACGAAAGAAAAGGAAGAAGAAGAAAAAAATCGCAGGGGAGTACCTTCTGATTCTGATTCAAGGTACATAAAAAATCTTCCGACAATGGAAGCAATAAAGAAGAAGTTCAGGAAGGAAAAAAAAGGAATTCTTGTGAAAAAAAGAAGATGGACAGAGGGCGAAAAAAAANCAACTTCAAACGGACATGGGCGGTCATACTAACAAAGCACCACTGGACACATCAATCAAGGTAACGCAAGAGGCGGGTGGGCCCAACCCGCGGCAACAAAGAGAAAAAAAGGAAATAAAAAAAGAGAGAAAATATAGATACAGCCGATTGGTGTAATCGTTAAGTAAGAGGCTTCTTCCGGCTGCGATTAACGAAAATGAAAAAAAAAATAGGAAAGAAGAGCCGATCGTGAGATGTGACAAAAAAAAAACTGTCACTGAGGGCCCTAACATAGGGCGAAGAATCGTGTAACTTGTAAAAAAAAACGTGAAAGACGAAGGGAACTAGAGTGGAAAGGATATAGAACTGTCAGCGAATGATTTCCACCTATAATCAAAATGCAATTTTACTCTACTGAAGGAGAGACCACGATCCCGTCAATGCTGCAAAGAGCCCTTACGGGATTGCTGCCTTATTCTCCTACTAACGTGTCTAATAGTTACCCTTTAGGGCTTACTTGATGAAGCTAAAGAAAAGGTGATGGCGGAGAAATGGAAGAGAGAAAAATGAAGGTAGCTACACTATAAAAGACGGGAAAGCAAGCACGGAAAAGAAAGAAAAAAAACCAAATCGGAAAAAATTGGACTCACCGTCCCTCCGTCTGCCGTCGGGTGGAGGGCTCGCTGCTACCAGTTTGGTTCCTGGCACCTCCTCTATTACTCTGTAGCGACACCATAGGACATAATAGTTTATTAGCAATCTCAGCCAATACAAGCCAATCTCCACAAAGCGTGCTGACGACGGCGACGGCTAGTCAGACGATCGGCGAATCCGCCGTTGATGGCCATGAGTCCAGCGGCGGTTGCGACGGCGAGTCCTCGACGGTGCCTGATCACGCGTTTTATACGAAGCTCGCGGAGAAGCCTGTAATCAGTACATTTCATCGGAGCATGAGAACGTTTCTGCGCAGGCTAGAATAGAAGCTAGGTTATAAACATTGCCTATCGATTGATTGGACAAGCCCTGAGGCTTACAATATAAAGAAATAGACAGCTACAAAAAACAAGGGAAAAGGGGGGTCGGACGAGCTAAATGGCGAAAAAACG